CAGTGAGGATGGGACAGTGAGGATGGGGACTGAGCCTGACTTACTTCACTTAATATAATTTTATTCGTATGTATATATATCACATGTACACCTTCTGTATAGCACACACATATAATCACAGATGGATAGATAGGTAACATTTCTTGACCCATTCATCAGCTGTAGAGCATCTGGGCTGTAACACAGTCATGGTGCCTAGTGCAGCAATGAACATGGGGGTGCAGGTGTGTTCACTGCCTTCTGACCTGTTGTCTCTTGGCTACTTTTGACCTCACCGACATTTTGTGATTACAGAGTGTCGTTTTGTTGTTGAAAGAGCCTGTGAATGGAACCAAGCTGAGGTAGGCTCCTATTGGATCTGTCCTGGCCCCCTAGTCCATCTGGACTGGGGTCCCTACAAGAGGCAGTTGGGGACAGGTGCCCGACTGAGCAGGCCAGGAAGGGGAGGCAGCCTGCAGGCTCTGCTTCTGCATCCGGTGTCACGGAGCCAGGAGGGGCCTGTTAGAGTCTCTCAGCCTGCACACGCTGTGACCCAGCTCGCTGGGAAGAAGCAGGCTCTGAAGCTCCCACCGCCGGCTGCAGCGCTTTCACCCTACCCAGGTTTTGGTACCAGAAATAGGGTGCGGGTGTAACAGAACCTAAACGTGTGCGAGAGGATTTGAAATTGCTTTCCAGGGCCTGCACATCTCCAGGACCACAGGCCCAAGATGAGCTTAGCTGCTCTCTGCATGCTCCAGCGGTCCCTTCGGGGGTCTGGCTGGTGACCACGGACCCCCTCCCTCATCACCTGTCCCCGCCCCGGGAGAGGGAGGCACTGTCCCGGGGCTTGGTGACCATGCCTCTGGCTGTCAGCACCATGGACGAGGGGCGTTCTGCTGCCTGCCCTGGTGTCCTGCCAGGGCTCCCACCCCGGGGTCCCACAGTGACCCCCCCGAGGGTCCCCTTCCCCCGGGGTCCCACTGTGACCCCCCGAGGGTCCCCTTCCCCCGGGGTCCCACTGTGACCCCCCCGAGGGTCCCCTTCCCCCGGGGTCCCACTGTGACCCCCCCCCGAGGGCCCCCTTCCCTCCGGGCACAGTGGACCAGCCACCGCCTCCTTTCTGTCCCAGTGCTGCAGGATCTTTCTCCTCTTCCTCTGCCTCCTGGTCACACAGGCTTTGCACAATTGTTTTCAACTAAAGCGAAGTGTCCCTGAATTCACACCTTACACTTCAATCTCCCAGAGCGGGGCCGAGGTCTGACCTGGGGGTGGGAGTGGTGAGGAATGATGGGTTTTAGGAGGAGAGAGACCCCAGAGGGAGGGGCTGCGTCTGCACCAGGAGGCAGGCAGCCCCCCACAGCAATCTGCACAGACCTCCAGCCTCAAGCACCTTGGGAGATGCATGCCTTTTGGGATGACCTAAGAAGGTCATCCCTTTGTGACATTTTGTTAGGGCAGCCTAGAGGCCCTGGGACACTGGACCACCCAGAGTGCCCACACCCCTGCCGTACTGACTGCCACAGATGCCCAGAACGCCCACACTCCTGCCCACACTGACTGCCCCAGATGCCCAGAGTGCCCACACTCCT